TCCATACTTGACACGCTGTCCTGCGTGTGGACTGGAGGACGAGATGGTACGTATGCATGTATGACTGGCCCTACTGCAGACTCTTAACTAAAAATAAATAAAACCTGTACTAGCAGTCATTATGGCTGTGAAACTAGATTACTGCACCACAAAGGGCTGTCAGCAACCAGGTTGGCTTCTGCCCCAGAGGGCCTACTAAGTCAAACAGCTTGGTAGCTGTCGATCGAGCACTGATGGTTTGTGCTGATGACATGGACAGACAGCCTCTACCTACCTCAGTAACTGCAGCCCCAACTCTCCATGGCTGAAGCACTGAAGAGCTGCATCTAGACTGGCAAGTTTTTCCGCAAAAGCAACTGCTTTTGCAGAAAAACTTGGCAGCTGCCTACACTGGCTGCTTAAATTTCCGCAAGGACACTGACTTCCTATTGTCTGAGATCACTGCTTCTTGCAGAAATCCTATGCTGCTCGCATTCAGGCAAAAGCCCTCTTGCGCAAATGCTTTTGCGCAAGAGGGCCAGTGTAGACAAAACGGTATTTTGTTTTGCGCAAAAAAGCCCCGATCACGAAAATGGCAATCGGGGCTTTCTTGCGCAAAACCGCGTCTAGATTGGTATGGACGCTTTTGCGGATCTAGACGCTCTTTTCCGCAAATGCTTTTAACGGAAAACTTTTCCGTTGAAAGCATTTGTAGAAAATCATGCAAGTCTAGACGTAGCCAAGCAGTATAGTACTTGCTGCTATTGGGTCCATTGTGCTTGGGATTTTCTTCTTTTGTTTGTTTCTGTGCTGCCTGAATGATTACTTTCAGTCCCTGTGGTGGCCATTTGACAAGTAAGTCTATAACATTTGTTTTCGTATCTTTGAGGTTGTGTTGTAAAATGTTTATGTTGATTCTTTGTCTTCAGCTTTGATACAGTTGACCATGACGTTCAACTGATTTGTTTGTGAACATAAGGGATGGTGGATGGAGCCTTCCCTAACTGTATGGCCACGTCTAGACTGGCATGATTTTCCAGAAATGCTTTTAACAGAAAAGTTTTCCATTAAAAACATTTTCGGAACAGAGCGTCTAGATTGGCACGGATGCTTTTCTGCAAAAGCACTTTTGCAGAAAAGTGTCCGTAGCCAATCTAGACACACTTTTGCTCCAAAAAGCCCAGATCGCCATTTTCGCGATCGGGGCTTTTTTGCGCAAAACAAATCTCAGCTGTCTACACTGGCACTTTTGCACAAAAGTTTTGCGCAAAAGGGACTTTTATCTGAACGGGAGCAGCATAGTATTTCTTCAAAAAGCACTGATTTCTTACAGTAGGAAGTCAGTGCTTTTGCGGAATTCAAGCGGCCAGTGTAGATAGCTGGCAAGTGTTTCCAGAAAAGCGGCTGATTTTCCGGAAAAACTGGCCAGTCTAGACACAGCCTGTTTTTATCCTCCTGAGAACTCAGAGTGTAGTTGTGGGAAGTTGTTCCTCTACCCCATGAGCCTTGTCTATTGGGATATGACAGCTATGGATATTATCACCTGAACAATTTCAATAGGTAGAAGGGAGAGCAAAAGACAGACTGCAAGGTATCCTTGATTTTTAGAATTTACCCCCCATCTCCATTGGATCCACCAGAATCCAGAGTTGTTAACCTTTGCACACATTTATAAAACATATCCTTTCCCCCTCTTTTCTAAGGCAGTTTTCTGAAGGGAAGGTGCTGAGGTGGATCTAGTTATGGAGAGCCTTTTGTGTATAGAATCATAGAACACTAGAACTGGAAGGGATCTCAAAAGGTCATCAAGTCCAATCCCCTGCCCTCACAGCAGGACTAAGCACCATCTAGATCAGGGGTCAGCAACCTTTCTGAAGTGGTGTGCCAAGATTTAACCCTCCTTCCCTGAGTCATGTCACTCTCCTGGGAGGAGTGGGGGTGGCGCACCACCGCATGCCCTGTGGACCACCTGGGTCAATGCAAACATTTCCACAGACTACCAGTTGCTAATGGAAACTCACCGTTAATTACATAATTATGCTTGAGCCATTTTGCTAGTGCTGCAGCTAGGGAAAATGGTTTCATTTAAATTATTAAACAGATTAAGGATTTTCTGTTTAGGGAAGGCTCCATCCACCGTCCCTTATGTTCACAAACAAATCAGTTGAATGTCATGGTCAACTGTATCAAAGCTGAAGACAAAGAATCAACATAAACATTTTACAACACAACCTCAAAGATACGAAAACAAGTGTTATAGACTTACTTGTCAAATGGCCACCACAGGGACTGAAAGTAATCATTCAGGCAGCACAGAAACAAACAAAAGAAGAAAATCCCAAGCACAATGGACCCAATAGCAGCAAGTACTATACTGCTTGGCTACGTCTAGACTTGCATGATTTTCTACAAATGCTTTCAACGGAAAAGTTTTCCGTTAAAAGCATTTGTGGAAAAGAGCGTCTAGATTGGCACGGACGCTTTTCCACAAAAGCACTTTTTGCAGAAAAGCGTCTGTACCAATCTAGATGCGCTTTTGCACAAAAAAGCTCTGATCACCATTTTCGCGATCGGGGCTTTTTTTGCACAAAACAAATCTGAGCTGTCTACACTGGCCCTTTTGCACAAAAGCTTTTGCGCAAAGGACTTTTGCCCGAACGGGAGCAGCATAGCATTTCCACAAGAACACTGACAACCTTACATGAGATCGTCAGTGTTCTTGCAGAAATTCAAGCGGCCAGTGTAGAGAGCTGGCAAGTTTTTCCACAAAAGCAGGTGCTTTTGCAGAAAAACTTACCAGTCTAGACACAGCCACAGCGTTCTTTCAAAAGAAAATCGAAAATGCAGGGGGTTTTCTGACAGCAGTGAATATCATTCTATGAGGAAGAATGCCTTTTCCAACAGAGCTCTTTTGGGAAAAGGGGTGTGTGGATGCAGAAGAGGGAGTTTTCAAGAGGCTTCCAGGAAAAAGCACAAGTGGCCACTGTCCATAGTAATCACAGCTTACATGTGATATTGGGCGCTCTTTCAAAAAAAGTAGATCACTTTTTCGATGCACTGTGGCAGTATGGACTCTCTCTTTTGGAAGAAGTTTTTTTGGAAGATCTCTTCGAGAAAAGCTTCTTTCGAAAGAAGCCTGCAGTCTAGATATACCCTCCTTTGCCTGCAGGCTGCAGCGCCGGGGCTGGGTAATGCAGAGCCCAGGGCTGACTCCAGCCAGGCCAGGAAAGGCAGAGCACTGAGGAAGGGGCTCCCTGCCCCCACCCACAGCTCATGCCTGGTGCACCATGTAGGTCAGCTGCACAGTCTCTGTGGAGCAGGCCCAGCCCCGCCTCCTCCCAAAGAAGGAAGCCCCAGGGATGTTCCCGTGTGCCTCTCTCGCCAATGCTCCCCCCGCCCACTCTAGCCTGCAGCTTCGCAGCTGAGGCTCGAGCCAGAGCATGGGCTCCCCCGCTGTGCAGGGGGAAGGGGCAAAGCTGAGCTTCCACCCCACATACCAGTGGCTGCTGACTTCTGATCTAGCTCATCCCTGATAGATGTGTCTAACCTGCTTTTAAATATCTCCAATGATGGAGAGTCCACAACCTTCCTAGGCAATTTATTCCAGTGTTTAACCACCCTGACAGGTAAGAACTTTTTCCTAATGTCCAACCTAAACCTCTGTTGCTGCAATTTAAGCCCATTGCTTCTTGTCCTATCATCGGTGGTCATGGGGAACAGTTTTTCTTCCTTTTCCTTGTAACACCCTTTTAGGAACTTGAAAACTGCTATCATGTCCTCTCTGAGAGTCCACTCTCTTCCAAACTAAACAAACCCAGTTCTTTCAGTCAGTATGTAGTGGTTTTAAAATTATGGAATAAGCACTGTGAGAAAGCAGTGCTAGAGGGGAAATATATAAACCTTAGGGCTAATTAAAGCATGGTTCCCTGTAGTCTAGGGAGGGCTACTACAGATTAATTGAAGCACCTGTAGTCAATTAAGGCCCTGTCAGGAACCTAATAAAAACTGCCAGGGTCAAACAGTGTGGAGCAGGCCTGAAGTTTAGATTTAGGCCTGTATTGCTGAGATTTGAAAAACCAGAGAGCTAGGAGGGAAGGGGGGTGGGTCCTCCCCCAATATCAAGGAAAATATATATATATCACACACACACACACACACACACAGAGCGTGAAAGAGAAATTTCTGGAATACACACACACACACACCCCACCCCCGCTAAATCAAACCCCGTGAGATTGATCTCCAGTGTGTCAATCCTCCGGTAAGTATAAACAAGCCCTTGTGTCAGTTCTCCAAAGTGAGTTTAACATCCAGGAGAAAATCTGGTCTAAGCGGAATCAGTAAAGAACTCAAACTAAAGGGAAAAGCTCAGACTTACCATCTGTTTTGAAAAAAGCGAGCAATAGACCAAAGCAAAACAGTGCCCACTGTAGAACATAGCTCACACCAAAGAATAAATTCACAAAGTTTGAAATAAAAAAATTTTTGAGGTGACAAGCCTTGGTTCGGAGTTGTTGCCTGAAAGCCCTTAGATCATAGGATTATATTCAGTGAAACTTCCAAATGGGAAGTAAATAGTAAACAGTCAGTGCTAGATCCGTTACCAGTATTAAAACAGGTTTATTTTATTGAGTTCATGTTTATCATAAGTGTTAAAATAGCTCAGAAATCTTTAGAGCTCTTCCCTAAATCAAATATGTAATATTTTTAACTGTGATTTTCTGCAGAGTCCTTCAATGCGCAATTGAAACTTCCAAAACCTCCATATGTAGTCTAGCAGAAGCATAAGGAATGAATATTCTGTTTTCCAATTCAGCATTTACAGAAGCTGCAGACAGTACATAGTACAGTAGGATTTTCTTAAAGAGCATGTTTATGAATGCGATCCCAAATCCAGAATTAGTACTGCGCTGAGGCCTTTGAGCCAATTTTTTAGACAACATGTGTAAATTAAATTGTTATACCTTAATCAGCATAAACTGTGCAGTCACATAATTTCTATCTGCTTTTTGTTTTAATAGATAAATGCAGAAGGAACGCCAGAAGAGGTTTTTCTTCAAGTCTGCACATCAGTCGACTGCTTTCTGGAAACGGAAACGGAAGCATTTTCTCTTTCAGCAGAAGTACAGTAGTGGTTCAGTTTTATCTCATGTGCACTTGTCACAATCGACTAAAATGCTGTTCAAAGCAATACCCGCTGTCTTGAGAAGTATCTTGAATTAGTGCATGTTGTATTAAATGTTATTTTGAAAATATTTATAATCATACAGTATACTAAACACAAAATGGTTCCCATACTAAAACCAATGTGGTTTTACGCTCTGCAGTACTGTATGTTTATCAAAATGTTTGCACTTAACAGGTTAAAAGCAGCATGGTGAACAGCAGGTTCAGTTTATATTTAGTGTTATGCATTTGAATATAATCAGATGTGTTGCACAATCAGCAGTCAGCTCCTTCAACTGCCATATAGCAAAGATTTTCAGGATTGCTCCCTCTCATTGCAGTGAGTGTTTTTCTTTCATTAACACCATTCATTTTTGTACTAACATTTAGCTTGTAGATTTGTAGTGGTTGAAAATCTGTCCTCTGCCATTTTGCTTTATAATGGAACATTCCTAGAATTAGTCATAATTTGTGGAGTTGTAGAAGTTGAATGGACTTTTGACATTTCCCAAAAATCACTGTAAATGCATTGCAAAAATGAACTGAACATGAAGAAATTAATAAGTTCTATAGAGATCATAGAGACCTGTCCATCTGTTCCCATCTCCCAGACAAACTGCTTTGAAATCTTTGCTGCAGAATTTGCTGCATATTACAATAATTTTCTAATGGGGCCAGGAATATCTTTGCTCTTTGCTGAAAAAAAGAACTGCATAACGTTAATACAATCAAAAGCGCAGATAGTTATCCATGCTAGTAATGATATATTTCACTAAAAATTATCATGTGAAATTGTTCGATTACCAAATACCATTAAAAACTACTCTGGCAGTATTCCAAGTGTAAATTTCAGTTCTGGATCCTTAGCTGTTGTCTTGTGGCACTACAAATTTTGAAAATGACAATCCAAAAACAGGCACCCCCCCAACCATTATCTTTAGCAGTTCACCCTTCCAAAATTTCTGCATAAAAATACATAAAACCATATATTTCCATCTACTCAGCCAAAGTGTTGGTTTTTTGGTATACTGATAGCCAAATAAAAACATTTGACATTTTTGTGGAGTAATTGCATCCCTTCCGTGCTGTTGCACCAGTACACAGTTTAAGTTTGCATGATTGATCTTTTAACATTTGTACTATCAATGAGCATTAATTGGACAGATTTGTATTTTTAAAGTTATCTTTCTTGTAATGAAGACACAATGCAAATAAAAAATGGACAAATGCAAAGAGTCATAATTTATGCTGCAGTACATGTGTGTTTGATCTTGCCTACAGCTCCATGAAATGTGTTTCATTAGTAAATATAGTTCAAATAAAGCACTCTAAACTCAACCTGCCCTGATTTAGGAAGGGAGTTTTTTTGGGAGGGTTTTTTGGTTTGTTTTTGCGTTTCTTCTACTTCCTATCTGCAATGCAAGCACTGGCTCCGGTGCGTCACTAAAGGGTAGTTTTAAACCTGCTCTTCTCCTTTAATTATGGATTTTTTCCCTCGTTGGATTCCTTTATAAAAGTTAATCTTTACCTCTGGCATCCATTGCCAACTCCAGAAGACAGCCATTTGATACAATATGTCCACTTGTACAATAAACCACTTATTGAAAATAAGGAAGTTATCTTCAGAATACGGCTAGATTTCTCCAGCTTGAAGAAAAGCATCGTTTCAGCTTAATTTGAACCTGATGGCACTATCGGCTGCATTCTTATGTTATTTTCCCAGTAATTAGAGGATTTTAAAATGATTGTGTGGTTGTAAGTTATCCTAGGAACAACCACATTTAGATATTTCTAGTCATTTCTTGACTTGATTCTCATTAGAAAGAAAGTTAAAATGAGTGAAAGGTGACATTTTGGTTTTTAGTGCTGTTCCTCAGAAATTGATTAGTTTCTAATGCCAAAAGTTACTTATAACATCAGTAAACACACAATTCCATATTCCAAATGTAGTGTATCTGATTTAACCGGTAATTCTGCCCCCGTCCTAAAATCACATTTCCTAGTTCAGTGGTTTTCAACTTGTAATCCACAGACCTGTTAGGCCTTGCTCTGCAAACTATGTCTAAGTGAGCCACAAACTGTGACACTGAAAATACAATTTCAGATCTCAGAAACAGTATTCTGTTTTCTGATTAATCAAAAGTAAGTGTCTACCCCCACCTACAGGTCAAGATCCAGAAGTATTGTCATTACCATAGAAAACTCAATCTAGTGCCCTTTTTCACATTGTATCAAATGATATGCCCTGCAACATCTACAGCTGAATTCTAATCAATCAGTTTTCAGTCTAAGACTTCTATGGTAGGTATGTATGGATCTCAGGTTAAACTTCAAAAGAGTCTGCACCCCTATTTGAAAATGTTTAAGGATCTGCAAATGAAAAAAGATTGAAAACCACTGTCTTAATCCATCAGGTATAGCTGCTATGATGCTAGTCCTGAGCCAATGCAAACATTATATGGATGAATATGCAAGTATCTCTCTCACACACAAATTAGATTTCCCCATATCAATAAGCAGTGTATGTTATATATTTGATATCCAAAACTCTTACACATCTCCATACACATACATGTTTAGGAGAAGAGAGAATTGCGTGTGCACATGCACACATTCATTCAAATAAGAAATGGCTTTAATCAAGTATTTCAGGTCTGAATTCCCTCAACTCCACACTCCTTCAAACCATATTAACCTCTCTCTTGTGCACAATTGTAATTTTTTTCTCTCTCATATATTATGGTTATTTTCCTCTAAGAACATTTTTAAAGCCCATCAAAAGATAACAGATTTGTCTCTGATAATCACTCTTCACCAAAACTGCTTCCATAACAATAGTGTAACTGAATGGCGGAACTTAATATTTTATGTTCCCATGATATTATAGATTCTCTCACACAATAGCTTTAGTCTTTCATTAAAGAGAAACGTGAAATACACCTTGTATATTTGTTGTATTATATTTTGTTAGGTTTATTAATTTCTCAAAAAATATGAGATATGCTTACAGATGATGTATTACATCATTTAGTGTTTTAGTAATTGTACTCTTATCTACTCAATATATTTTATGCTTAAACTTGTTTTCCTCAGAAACAAAAAGTAATTACACCTAAGTGAAACTGTGAAATTTAACACTGATCAGGCTACAGTTAAGTTGCTCTCAAATGCAATCAGCCAATTACCCTTCTTATTGCCATGGTTTAAGCTAATGTGTTCCTTTTACATTCTAATCATTCTGAAAACTGACGTTTTTATTTAAGCAAGTGGAAAGCTAATACAGTTTAAAATAATTTGTGTCTGAATCACAAGCTATACAGTTCAATAAAAAAGTTATTTGATGAAAAATATCACAATAATTACAAAGCTTTGCAGACATCAGCATTTTTTAGATTAATACAGCATACCAAAGTTGCTAACATTCCTTTCTTCTACAGTCTGGGAAAACAAAAACAAAAACCCACAACTACCAGCTTCTGAACAAGATATGAGAAAACCAAGGCTCGTATCTTGCAAGAGGCTGAGCACATTGTATTAGGAGCAGCGTGCATTCAGTTCCATTGAAGTAAACAGTAGTGCCAAGTGCTGAGCCAATGCAGATATGGGCCCTTTAAGTATTCCTGTGACCTACTAAACTGTATTGTTTTCTATTGTTAATGTTGGTTAAAAAGTTAATTACTACCCAAAAAGGAAATCACAGTAAGCATTCTATATATAAACAGAGTGTATCCACATAGTTTATTTCTCACAGTATTCCTGACAATTGAACATTATTTAAGAACATACTGTATACACAGATAAGAAGAAACATACAAAATGTTTTAAATGATGCACAACAAAATCCAGCAGTATAAAAGAATGCACGTGAACCTTTGCTCACTGCTCAGGCTAAATTTAATCACTTGTTTAAATAGTAATAAAAATACAATCTTTCATGGATCTTGTGCAGACTACAAAAGAGGAAAATTATTACCATATATATGATTTATATTAGGCAGTTTTCTTTGATGAGTTGCACTAACAACTCCAAATACAGAGGCAGAAGGCTGTGTACTTTATTTTAAAGGAGTTAATGTTGAGTATTAGAGACTTTACACAGTTACTACCACTGGCACTTTTCACCATATTTTGTACACATCACATGATCATATTATATAACATTACATTTAAAAAATATATCTGAGTGACAATTTTATAACATTCACACACCATGAGCTGGTTAAGGAAGCAATGCAACAGTTGCTTCCTGTAGTGCTTCACTGTTGGTAATAGAGTTCATTGTGGTTTTAAAAAAAAATTAGAAGTCAATGAGATTAAGCAGCTCCAATTTAATAAAGGCCTGTAACCAACCATCACCGGAACAGTGAGTATTTTTTAGAGTATATCCTAGAAGCAAACACTGTCATTGGTTAAAACCTTAACTAAAGAAGTCAGTTTCTGTGCTGAAAACTATTTCACAACAAAACTGCAAGCTACTAAACTGTTTTTATATAAATACTTCATCTTCTCTGGATCTCATAACCAAGTTCTTCAAAGCCTTTGGAATTTATTGTATCATTATATGCATGCTCTCATTTCTGGCTCACCCTTCTGTATTTTTTTCCTTTCTTTTTTTTGTTTTTGTTTTGGATTCACCATCTAAAAATGACTAATGTGGCGAAAGGAAAGTCTCCCAGTGAAACCTTCTGCACACTAGGAATGTTCAGCTGCTGTTCAGCTGATCAAGAACCGTGACAGTTTGGAGCTTTAGTTTGACAAGTACACCCAGGAAGCTGTCATGCTGTGAGTGACATTTCAGGGAAAGCAGAGTCTTTCCAAAGTGTGCACGGAATTAACAATGATGCCATTGTTACTTTTCAAAGAGGATAATAAGCCCAAGGTTGTAGTCTGTTTCCCATGTCATCTGTTTGCTGGAAAGTAGTTTGGGTCAAGATAATTGTAACTGGTGCCTTGGGACATGCAGTAGTCTCTATCTAAAAATGTCTCTGCTCTGTAAATAGGCTCTAACTGGTGATCTTCCTTGTGAATCTCTGTTTCATGTAGACTGCAAAGAAAAGAAAACACGATTTGGCAAGTGAACTTATTTTTCATTATATATTCACTTCAGAAGAGTGAAGAAGTTTCTTTTTATTTTTTTAATTGACAGATAAAAGTCAAATTCTATATCACACACCATTACTTCACAGTTGAGGATTTAAAAAAAAAAACCCCACTTTTCCTGTCTCATACTTAACTGTCCAAGTATAATTACTCTCTCCATTGCACTGAAAGAATTCTTGATTGTCACACCATCCGAAAACACACATTATCATTATAATCTAGTCACATCTAACTTTCCCAAGGTATCATGGAACAGCTAAATCCTATATATGTGAAGAGTTTACTGAGTGTTTAAGCACAGGGGGTCGGCAACCTTTTCAAACAAAAGAGCCAAACTACATCAAAATTCAGAACAAGAGGTCAACAAAGAGCCATATAAGCAAGCCCATTTGCATGACTGAAAATATACAACTTAATATTATTGATAATTAACATAATGATTAATAATAGCATCAATGAAAAAACATCGTACTCCCAGACTAATGGGACTTCTGCTGCCGCATCTTTTCTTTGAAGTTTACATCATTACTGGTCAAATCCAGTTTTATGCACTCATTCAGACTTGTCTTCTTTCGATCTTATGGCAGGGGACTGAGTATGTGGGGGGTGCAGGAGTCTGGGCTGCAGTGTATGGGGGGCTCAGGGCAGGGGGTTTGGGTGCATGATGGACTCAGGGCACAGGGTTGAGGTGTGGGGGGGGGGGCGGGGG